AAAAAAAACCATGCAGATCTGAAATATACAAAGTTTAAGAATTATATTACAGTCCCAAACAATCAATTTGTCTGTGCATTACTGGTTTCATTCTTGTACCAGTAATGGCCGTTTAGCTAATTTAGTCATAAAATACAGAGTAATCACTGAACGCAGAATTTATATATATGCTCTGTGGAACAAAAAAACTGCATCATACATGAAGTCTTCTATCAAATGATTATGAAAAGAATACTATACCTTGAGCTAAAAAGGAAAAAATAAAAATAAAAAAAACTGTTTGTGTCGTTTGATATCATCTATAGATTTAAAAAAAATGTATACATTAACATGACGTGGCTAACAAGAGCTCCAGTAAGGAGTACTTTAGAAAAGAATTTGAGTTGGCTGGCATACAGAGCAAAGGCAGTAATTTCCCTGATTGCCTTTCACCCTGGGGACCCAGTTCTAAATCATAGTGAGAGTAGAAGGAGATTGCTTTTTCTCAATGACAGCTGTCAAGGGTTACATGGGAAATGAATTCTGGCACTCTCAATTTAGTCTGTTGAGAAAAGTAGGAGAATGCTTTAAGTCTGCCCTGATGACTTCAAAACCTCACACTGAAAAGATTCAAACCCTTGAGGACAAAGAAGTGAAAAGACCACCAGAGTCCGTTAGGCAGTTTTCTGTTAAAAAGTTGAATGATCATAAAAACTTACATCATTCATAGTATTTCATTTCTTATTCTATTTCTTTTTTCATTGACAGAAACAATGTTAAGCTCCTTTTATAACTCTTCTCTTTTTGAAAAGTACTGCATTAATGTTGGTATCTAGAACATGTATAGGGAATGCCACTCAATGAATAAAAGTAGAGAATTCACTTTGTATTTATGACAAATTTAAGAACTGCTATCTTTGGAAAAGTGAGCACCATTACAGTATTTCCAGTCTATGCAATTTTAGTTAAGTTCAGAGCAGAGTCAGCAACACACAAAAAAAGGCAACTGCTCATTGAAGGTAAGAGAATTTTTTTTTAAAAAAAGCAGCTATTTCAAATTCAGTTTGAAGACTCAGAAAAATAGGACTCATTTTTTATTGCTACTTTTTTTTTTTTTTTTGGTGGGAGCCAGCCAGAGAGTAAAATTTTCATACTGAATCTGGTCACATTAACCATAAATCTAAAATATTTATTTAGGAAGCAGAGTACTTTGTGAATAACATTTTTGCATACATTATTAAAATCTATAAGAAATCATATGTCCTGGCACTGTGTCTTTGATGAACCAAGACCAGAGAAATGTAGTACTTTAGTATAAATAAGGTGGGTAATAGTGCAAATTAATATTATTAATCTGCAGATGAAGACTGGAAGAAGAAAATAGTTCATATTGCCTTGTGCGACAAAAGCTAAAACACAGTTCATTTTAATTGCATTCCAAAATATTTTGCCATTGATATGAATTTTCCATTGCAAATGCTCACTCTCCCTGGAAGCATTCAAGGCCAGCCTGGATGGGACTTTGAACAAGAGCAGGGGGGTGGAACTAGATGATCTTAAAGGTCCCTTCCAAGCCAAACCATTCTATGATTCTATAAAATGTTCTCTCATTATTACAAGAAAATAACAATAATAATAAATAAAATACTGTATTTCCTAAGGGAAAATTCCTGCCTGCCTGCTATGATAACTAGATAGCTAGCTCACTTGATACTAACATAAAACTGGTGTAAGAAGTACATTAAAAAAAATAAATGAATTTGCAGTTACTATTCTTGACTTTGTACAGAGTTGGTTTAATGTTACAAAATAATACTTTTTTTTTGATCACTAATTTAATTCAAAAAGCATTTTTTTTTTCCATTGGATACATAGGAAAGCTCTTCTTTTTAGAAGTGTTGTCTGTATGTTCATTTATTTGTGAGCATATACATGCAAGTAGTACCAATTCAGTAATTTCTGTCGTGGTAGTATTAACTTGGGAAGAATGTCTTAAAATCTTTCTCTTTAGTTTTCTCTCTCTCTCTCTCTCTTTTTTTTTTTTTTTTTTTTTTTTTTATTTAATCAGAGCATTGTTTTCTACATGTGAGAGGAACTCTTTGGTTGTACCTTAAAGATGTTTCTGTTACTACTTTCTGAGGTGTCTTTGCCAGATCTCCAGGCAGGTAACACTCCAGAGATGAGTCATTTTAAGTCCTGGGCAATCTCTGCTATCTTCAGGAAAATAGCTCAGATGCTTTATCATAGAATCATAGCATCACTCAGGTTGGAAAAGACCTTAAAGATCATCGAGTCCA